AGTCATTGTGGCCACTGAGATGCAGTATTTGTACTGGTCAGTCTTGAATCATATGCCCACATGCTGAGCCATGTGGACAAAAAGTGAAAGAGGACTGATTTCTCATTGGAAATTTAAGTTGCTATCATTAGAAAAAGGAGAATAAAAACTAAGCAAGCAAAACACTAGATGCCCATTATGCATACAAGAAACACTCCAAGGTTGAAATTTACCATGAATTTAATGAAACCTAAACTTCAGGGAACCTCACTTGCATATGCTCCTTCTAAGATGAAGTATTTATTTTTGTATTTAAATTTTTGTGTTCCTTTTCTTAAAGAGGGACTCCTAAATTGTATAAGCTTCAAGACCAATACAACCTGGATCTGCCCCTCATAAAAATACTCAAAAATATTCGTGAAAATAATAAATAAATGTTCTCAACATATTGACCCCTCTCCTGCCTTTAGCAGAAAGAAACCATCTGTTAGATAGTTTATTCACTAAAGTATTCACAATAACTTAATATCTTATCTTTTGACCCAAACAAAAAAATAACTTGATCATGCCCTTCAGATCTCCCTAGCTTCTGGAACTCGGAATCTTAATGTATTTTTCTCTGCCTCTATCACAGACTCACTCAGATAAGGCCCCCCAATTTTTTTTCACTTCTCTGAATTTTAGTTCCAGATGAAACCTGCCTCCTAGTATCACCTTTCATGAGAGGCCAATCCATTATGAGGTGCTCCTTTCTGGGTCCCACTATGGTTCCCTACAGAACCAATTTGAAGAAACTCAGCAATTGCTCATATTTATTCTAAACTGATATTCTTTTTTTAAAATTCCAAATCAAAATGAATTCTCAAAACTATCACAGAGAGAACACAAAATGTAAGATATGTCTTATATTGGAGTGAATCTAGGATGTGACTCTTGTCAAAGCCACTTACCTATAGGGGACCAAAGATCAGAGATGTCCCAAAATCAGATCTGGGTAACCAGAAAATTGTGCCTGTTGTTGAGATTTCCAACTACACTTTACCCTTCTACTTGGCAGTCAGACAGCCTCAGGAATGTAAATTCATGCAGTTTTGAATGTGGGGGAAGGTTAGGAAACTAAGCCTGCCTGCTGCTATTCTGATTACAGCATTTGTCGCTGGCTGGGAGAGACAGCTCTGAGATTGATGCTATTTTTCTCCCTTCTCAGGAAAATGGCTTGGGCTATGTATCAGGGAAGGCCAAGGGCCACCTATGAGAGACAATTTCCGCTTAATCCCCAGCAGGTTCCTAAGTCAGTAGTCCTTCAGATGTGGCATTGCATTTGACCTATTTATTCCATCCCCTGCTCCCTGTCCCCCAGCTCCTGCAAGAAATATGGCATAGAAACAGGGCAGTGCAATTATATTGCCTTTTTTTCTTTTAATTTGTTAAAATTGTCTCTAGGCAGAAGAAGTGAGGTGGGGGTTAGAAACCAGATGGTTGTAACTGGAGTAGAAACCTACTACTCAGTAGCTTTGAGATGCTCAAATCTGGTAGAAGTGGCTATTTCCAAGCAGGAAAAGGGGAAGAAGCAACAGAGCCGTGGAAAAAGATTTCCAGCAGATTGATCTCCAGTGTCTTATCTCTCCAACCCATGTTCACTCACATGTAAAAGGTAGCCCCTTTTCCCTTAATTCTCCAAAGCACCACCAACAATGGGTTAGAGCAGTCTTTTTCCTGAAAGTTGTGGGGGGGGGGGGTGCAAGGGTAAGCTAGTGATCATGAAAGGGGTTTATAACACAGGACTTAAATCATCTACAAATGAATATTATCCATCCTTCTTTAAAGCTCCTCAGCCTCTCTGTTATCTTCCTCCTCAGCATCCGAAGCATCCTCACCCCTCACGAACCCCAGGCACCTGATGTATTTCTCTGCTTCTCTCTTTACACACATGAAGTAGAAAGAAAACTGGGGCCAGGCCCTGTGGCTCATGCCTGTAATCCCAGCACTTTGGGAGGCTGAGGCAGGCAGATCACCTGAGGTCAGGAGTTTCAGACCAGCCTGGCCAACATTGTGAAGCCCCATCTGTACTAAAAATACAAAAGTTAGCCAGACATGGTAGCACATGCCTATGGTCCACTCAGCTCAGATTGCAGGAAGAGGTGTCTACAACCTCCTTCTCACATTTGATAATTCACTAGAATGACACAGCGCTCAGGAAAGAGATTTACTTACTATCACCAGTCTATTGTAAAGAATACAGCTCAGGAGCAGCCAACTAAGGTATGTCTGTGCAGCTATTCAGAAGGCTGCACTCCAGCCTGGGAAACAGAGTAAGAGTCTGTAAAATGAACAAATGAACAAAAGAAAGAGACTGAGAGGAAGGAAGGAAGGAAGGAAGGAAGGAAGGAAGGAAGGAAGGAAGGAAGGAAGGAAGGAAGTCGGTCAGGAAGTCAGGCAGGCAGGAAGTAATTTGAGACTGTAGGAAAGAAAAAGAGTCAGGGAGCTGACTAAGCACTAACCGGTTATTTTCTTATATTTGGGGTGATTCAGCCAGCAAGAAGAGCCCTTTCTCTTAGTCTCTGTGCCATCTAAACACCTGAAGGATAGCGGCACACTGAGGTCTGGGGGTAAGGGCTGATGCCTCCTTCCTCTAGTCTTTGATAGGGAAAACTGACTCTCAGGCTTGTGTGAAGTTCTGTTCAGGTGTAGTGGCTCACACCTGCAGTCCCAGCACTTTGGGAAGTATGAATCACTTGAGCTCAGCTCATGTTGCTAGCCTGGGCAACATGGTGAAACTCTGTCTTTACAAAATGTTAGCTGGGTGTGGTGACATGTGCCTGTAGTCCCAACTACTTGGGAGGCTGAGGTGGGAGGATCACCTGAGCCTGGGAAGTTGAGGCTGCAGTGAGCTGTGATGGTGCCACTAAATTCCAAACTGGGTGACAGAGCAAGATCCTGTCTCAGGAAAAAAAAAGCAGCCAAATATCCACTCGGTTATCCACCTGTTAAGAGTTTTTCCCTCCCCCTAAAAAAGGATGTCTTTTCCAAAAGCACTTCTCCATCTCTCTGACACCAATTAGGTGGCCTACAATTCATTTCTGGCACTAACTATCCAGAGTTAATACCAGATTTACAGCCTTAAGGGCTCAGTCCCACAAGACTGCCCTCACCTCAGAAGCCAGTTACAAGCAAGGGATCCACAGGTTACCAACTCTTCTGTCAATCTTGGCTACAAATTCAGGGGTTCCTACAAACTCCTTCTCAGGTTTGGTAATTCACTAGCCTGACAGCACTCAGTAAAGAGCTTTACCCTCTATTACCCATCTATTCTAAAGGAGCCAACTCAGGAGCAGCCAACTGGAAGAGAAACACAGGGCAAGGTATGGGAAAGGGACATGGAACTTCCATGCTCTTTCCTGGCGTACCACCCTTCCAGCATCTAGACATCTTCCACAACCCAGAAGCTCCCCAAACTCCATTGTTACTTAGGAGTTTTACAGAGTTTCTTTATGTAGGCATGATTGATTAAATAATTGGCCATTGTCACTAGCTCCTCTCTTTTCCCCTGAGATTGGGGATGAGGGTGAAAGTTGCAAGCATCTAATCAAGCCTTGGTCTTTTTGGTGACAAGATGACTTATCCTAATAACTCAGGCAATTTCCAAGGGTTTTAGGAGCTCTGCACCAGGAACTGAGGACAAAGACCAAATAATCCTCTTATTATAGCACCTAATTATGTTTACGTGTCTTGTAAAGAAAAAATGTATAGCCACCCTCCTTAGGATATTAGCCTTCCTGGCTATTTCTGGCTTTCTGTTTCCATATGCTCTCCATATCCCTTTAACAGACTGACCAGGAACCTCTGATCTTTACTTATTAGACTTACTAATACATAGCTAGTTTTTCCTATGGCAGACCCCTTTATCTCCCTCTCCAAACAAATCATTCAGGAGAACAAGCATCCTTAAAGCATTAGAGGTGAATGCCCACAACACTCTTTCTTCCTCCCAGAAGAACCTTAGGAGGATGTCAGTGGGAAGGGTGAACTTAAACGGCTGAGGGCCTCACCCCCACTCCTTTTCATGCAGGCATCATCCCCACTTTTCTGGACCACCTCTGTTGGCCTCTAGGTTACTGATATCCCATAAATGAGAAGAAGATCATTTTGAGTGTCCAGGGAGACATCTTGGCTCTTATTTGTTCAAGTCTCTGGAAAGAGCTCTAGGAGCTGGGTCCTGAGACCCTGGAATTCAAGACCAAGAACTTTACTAGTTGCAATGGGATGGGGATGAGGGCCAATCTGAGTGAATGCCTCTGTGCATTCTGCCTCACTGGCTCTCCTCCTTCCCCCTCCATGAACAAAGACAAAAATAAAAACAAAACCAACTCAAGGAAACAAAGCTTTTCTTTTAGGTTATCAAGAGATCTTCCAATTGGAGCAAAACCTCACTCTCTCCTGCTGCCCCAGACAGTCTCAATCTCAGATGGTGAGGGCCTCAAGCCCAAACTGGTTTATTTGAAATCCATGTTTAGGTCCCAGCATGTGGCATGTGCTCCACTCTGATGACACTTTTAGTTTCTAATAATAGAGCAGATGAAGTAATATTGCAATTGATGTTCCCGGGGATTTGATTGGATAAGTGCATAAAGTGTGGAGGGGGAAGGGGGTTGCATGGACAGATCACATTAGTATTCCCGTCCTATCAATGTGCGGGCCCGTGAACAACGTCAGCCGGACCGATTCTCTGCGTCTGCCAGTCCCGCCACAGATTCATCTGGGATCTTCAAACAGATGAGCCCTTAGAGACAAGGGATCAAGGCAGCCGATTAGAGCCAATTGCTTGCTTTGGGGACGGCCAGTCCTTCCAGGCCTGGCGACAGTGGAGGGAGGGGAAAGACGAACCGAGCGCCGCTGCGGGAAGACACTGAAGCAAGAGCGACACCCCTTTCCGCCCCCCACCTTGCAGCGCAGGCTTTGAAAGCTGCTCCCCCACCTGAATGGAAACTCAGAACCGCCGGGCGGCGCGTTCCTTCTCGCCCAGCCTTGCAATCCATGCCGAGAGGAAGGCAGAGCGAGCCCGCGCCAGCGCCCAGTTCCCGGGACAGGGTCGGCAATGCTGCTGAGCAGAACTTGATCGCGCCCCTTCCTCGCTGCTAGTGGAAGCGATGCTGCAAGGCACAGCCAGCGCTTCCCCGGCTCTCCTTCAAGCTGAAGGTTACCGACCCGCGCAGCCAGCCCCAGCACTGTGAGCTGCGCGCCTCAGGTCCGGGCTCCGGGTGCTTGGCGGCGGCGCGCAGGGCAACGACCGGGCCGCCCGCGCCGGGGCGCACTGCACCAGCGGCTTCGGCTTGGTGGATGTGTATGCATGAGTTCTGCACCGAATGGGCGCAAAAAGCGCCCCAGCCGGTCCACCCGCTCCTCAATCTTCCAGATCAGCAAGCCCCCGCTGCAGAGCGGAGATTGGGAGCGCAGGGGCAGCGGCTCCGAGAGCGCCCACAAAACCCAACGAGCCCTGGACGACTGCAAGATGGTGGGTGAAAACTGCGCCTTTTTTTTTTTTTTTTTTTT